GAGTAAGAACTCCTGAAATCCCATTCCTGAAACATACCTCAGGTAATAGCTGAACAGTCTTGTAGAAAATTCATGCAAATTTTATGTACCAGATATATTTATACATTTTTTAAAAGATTTATTTATTTGAAAGTCGGAGTTACACAGAGAGAGAAGGAGAAGCAGAGAGAGAGAGAGAGAGAGAGAGAGAGAGAGAGAGGTAGGTCTTCATCTGCTGGTTCACTCTCCAATTGGCTTTAATGGCAGGAGCTGCGCCAATCCAAAGCCAGGAGCCAGGAGCTTCTTTCAGGTCTCCCACACAGGTGCAGCGGCCCAAGGGTTTGGGCCATCTTCTACTGCTTTTCCAGTCCACAGCAGAGAGCTGGTTTGGAAGTAGAACAGCTGGGACTAGAATCGGTGCCCATATGGGAAGCCAGCACTGCAGGCGGCGGTTTTACCCGCTACGCCACAGCGCGGATCCCTATACATGGTATTTTCTAAGATCACTTGCTGTAATGGGGCTATCATAATATAGTTAAAATTTACTTTCATTGAATCTGACAGATAAATGTAGAAAAAAGATATCACTCTCAACCCCACTTCTGAGGAAATCACTATAATTTTAATGTATGTTCTTCCAAATGCTGTCCATCTGTTTGTATAGAGAAAAGAATGAAGTTCACAATGTATCATTTAGTTTAAAAAGTTGCAGGTGGGGGCCGGTGCCACGGCTCACTAGGCTAATCCTCCGCCTTGCGGCGCCGGCACACCGGGTTCTAGTCCCTGATTTCTAATCACCAAAAATGACATAACACAAACAAACCTAAATTGGGGAATGAAGAAATAAAATGTAATATATTGATCTAATGCAACACCACCCAGCAATAAGATGTACTTGTTAAGCACAGTTTGGCGCATTCACAACCCATGACAGTGCCTGAATTCAAGTCCCAGTTCCACTCCCAATTAGTTCCCTTCTAATGCCCATCATAGGAGGCAGCAGGTGATGCTCAAATGGTTGGTTCCCAGCCACCCATGTGGGAGGCCCAGACTGAGTTACTAGTACCTGGCTTTGGCCTGGCCCAGCCCCAGCTGGTTTTAGGCATCTGGGAAGTAAGCCAGTGAGTAGAAGAGATTGGTCTCTCTCTGCCTTTCAAATAAATGAAGTAATTTTTAAAAGGGAACTACTGATACAAGCAGTAATTTTTAAAAGGGAACTACTGATACAAGCAGTAAAATGAATCAAAATGCATTATGTTAAGTAAAAGCCAGATTCAAAAAGTTTCATGATTCCATTTACAAGACATTCTGGAACATACACAAGGAAATATTCAGTCCAATCAAACCAAATACTTTTTTTTTTTTTTTGACAGGCAGAGTGGACAGTGAGAGAGAGAGACAGAAAGGTCTTCCTTTGCCGTTGGTTCACCCTCCAATGGCCGCCGCGGCCCGCGCACCGTGCTGATCTGATGGCAGGAGCCAGGTACTTATCCTGGTCTCCCATGGGGTGCAGGGCCCAAGCACTTGGGCCATCCTCCACTGCACTCCCTGGCCACAGCAGAGAGCTGGCCTGGAAGAGGGGCAACTGGGACAGAATCCAGCGCCCCGACCGGGACTAGAACCCGGTGTGCCGGCGCCACAAGGCGGAGGATTAGCCTAGTGAGCCGCGGCACCGGCCCCAAATACATTCTTAAAAAGCCATCATTTTCTATCTCTCGAACTAAAGAAAAACTAACACAAAGTATTCAAAAACTGAAATCTTTGCCTATATTATGGATAGAAGCAGGTATTACTGCAGTCCTCTAGAACTATTTCTTAACCTGTATCAAAAGCCAGAAAGCATTCATCCCCTTGTAGGAGTATTTCATTTTCAGAGGTTAACCTATCAAAATAACCAGAAAAAATTATGTAGTACATGAAGTTGCTGATGTCTTTAAATTCTCATCAAATGCTGTTATCTTGCTATATCCTTTCTTTCAGTTTGCTCTAATTTTTCCTGAAATCCTCCCTTTCCTTTTCACCTCTCCTACAAGCCCCAGCTCTTCATCAACCATCAGGCAAGAGCTACAAAACTTTGGGGATATAGTTGCAGCTCTTCTTGAAGTCAAACTTTAATAAGGATAGGTCTGTCTACAGGATTTACCTTTCACAGAGCATTTTCAACATCTCTTCAGACACTTAAATAATTAAACACATGTAGGGGAGGAATAAATGAGAATAATGGGGAGAATAAAATGTTTTTAGCAGGAAATTTTTAATAGGGCCAATTGAAGACCTGAAAGGACAATACATTAGATCTCCACTAAGGAGTTCACTGCGGTTCAGCATTAAAGTGATTTAATGAGATACTTTCAATAATTTATAAGTCAATCAATGATGAAATCAGAATGGAACTGAGACAATCAGGATACTTTCTGCTCTACTCAGCTAGCAGTATCTCTATAGCAGTAACTACTACCCTGGACAGTCTCGAGTCATCTAACATACCACTGCATTTTTAGATGGGTTTTCCCACACATTAATGCATAAAAGTCAACAACTATGTAACCTGACTGGCAACACATGGACACATAAAGAAAAGTTCCCCATATTTTCAAACATCATGGAACCAAAGTTACTAGCCGAAGAGTTCATTTAGATAAATCTTGTCCCTTTATTCTCATATATGTTTATTTTAGCATAAGTTGAGATTGACATAAGAGTTCTCAAGGATAGTACAGGGAGTGGTTATATACCCTCCACCTAGTTTCTCCTATTGCTTACATCTTGCATTACTATAGCACCTTTGTCACAATTAAGGAATGGACACTGATACACTATTATTAACTAAACTCCTATTTCAGTTCTCACTATTTTTTCTTTTCCTCTGATGTCCCTTTTCAATTCCAGGATACCATCCAGGGTGCTCCATTATATTCAGTTATCATGTCTCCTTAGCTTTCTCCCATCTGTGACATCTTCTCAGACTTGTCTTATTTTTGATGGCCTCAAAAGTTTTGAGGAGTATGTCAGGGACTCTAGTTTGTCCTTCTATTTGGGATTGTCAGAGCACAGAGGTGAAGGGCTAGCCATTTTTATCATAGTACAATCAATATGACTTACAGAGTATATTCAAGAATATCTGATCAAGGTACTATCTGCCATGTTTCTTTACCATAAAGTTACTACCTTTTCCCTTTGGAAGGAAATCACTAAGTGCTTTCATTGTGTAATTTCTGTGTATTTGAAATGTATCTCTTCACCCCTATTTATTCATAAAATAACTTATCAGTATGAATTCATAATTTTTTTGTACTTTGGGTTATAAATCTAGTGCTAAGAAATTTATTGTGCTGCTCAAATTGATCCAGATGTGGTGTTTAAGTCCTTTCTAAATGTTCTCATCCTTTTATTTTTAGAATAGATTTCTCATTTGGTCAGCTGAGGTTCCAAAAGTCAAAAAACTGCATGAGTTAGATTACCCAGATGTTTTGGCATATGCCTGTAGTATTCACTGGTCTCTTATTTTCAGATATTGGGATGTTAGGGGTGAGAACACTAGGTATATAGATTTCCTTTTTCAATTCAAGGGTCCACTGTCCAAACATTCTTGCACATAACAGCACAAAAATCTCATTCTGTGATCTCATTTTGATCTGGTTTGTTTCAATACTTAACTAGTATGCTATTTTGTTTGCACACATGACCCATTTTCTGTCTTTTCACTTTTATTTCTTCTATATACCCTACACAACAAATGCTGAACTTTACAACTGGCCCTAAAAAACTAATTAGACGATGACTAACTCAGATTTCTTTTCAAAGGCTAACTTACCATAAAGATGCTCTTTTATCACTGTTGACCTCTAGAGGGAGCTCAAAGTTCTTGTAATTTTCCCAAGGGTCAGGATACTCCTCCCACAAAAGAGGTCTGTTCAACATTTAAAGTTTTATTTTGGCACCCTGAAGAGCTAGTTAAGTTTGTGCCATCACTTCTGGAATCTCTGCCTTCTCAGAAGTGAATAAGGCTTAATTTGCTCACCTGCCTCTGGGGAGCAGTCCCAATCGTTTATTCCTTTCACTGCAAAAGATTCCTATGACTTTCTTCACTCTTTCCCCACTTGGTATTAACTGGGACATTTTCCTGTAGCCTCAGAGGCTGACGGAAGGAGAGCAGTAGGCACTGGTTAGGGGCCAAACCTCATGCCTACTCTCATTACTTTTAGTGTGGCCGCTGTGCATGCACAAACAGAGTACTTGTGTGGCACACTGTAAAGGTAAGATGAGGTTGTTCGGGTCTGCCCAAGAACTGAGCTGCTAAGGTCTCACTCAGGAACCCATTCTCAAGGACTGGGGCGGGGGGTTGAGGGTGGGGGTGGTGGTGTCTTAATTTTAGCAACTCTCAGGGCCACTTATGTAATAGAGAATTTGCATAGGAAACGGCGTAAGATTTGATGGTCAAATCACCACTTTACCACTATCTGTATAACCCTGGAGGAAGCTAGCCTTTTTGAAACTAAGTTTCCTCATCTTTCAATACCTTAAGAGTCACTTTGACAATTAAAGGAGCAACAAATGCGAAGAAATGATTCTTGTATGAGGCACATGACAAGCAGGTTTGCTGGCATCTGGGCTTTCTTGCAGAAAACAGAAACAAGCCTTAATTATTTTAAGGCTATTCTAGTCACTCTAGCCTAGGCCAAAATGCTCTTTAAATGGTTTAACTCACTGGAATCTGAGGCTACACAAATGTTCCAACATCCTTGTTTTTGCTGCCTCTGTGCTGAAATATACTCACAGAAGCCTCAGGTAGAAAGAAGCTGGACTGGTCAAGGACAAGATTCTGTGTCTCTTAGTCAAGATATTGCCTCAATTTACTGTGACTTCAACAACCAGATTATGGAAAAATCTGCAGGGAATACAGTGAGCGCTAACAGCCTCTGTAGTAACCTTTCCTCAACCCCCTGACTCAGTGAACAGGAACATGTTATATGATAAGCTCAACAGTGACCACTGGCTATTGATGCTCACAGAAAACCTACATTGTAATGTTGCCATGAGAGTCAGGGTCCATAGGGTAATTTCCAGAGATGTGTTCTGGAACCAGTCTCCCTTCTTTATAACTTGTTCCTGGATAATCTGATATCATGTTTGGATAAAATGGAATGGAACCATACCCTCCTGCAACAAAGAACAGAAAGATAAACAGTTGCTAATACAGTTAGTCTACAGGTATGATTTTAACAGACAATAAGCCTTGGCATATAACTGTTACACATGTTAGAAAGAAGAGTCATATTGATGATTGTAAACCTAAAGTTACTTATTACCTTTATTAAATGTTCACTTCACTAACTTTTAAATGGCTCTTAATTAATTCCAGAAAGCTCCTCATTTAGTTACCTTATACTATGAACAATTTCCCACAGAGATAATACAAACAAGTAGTGCTGCACCATGCTCCTACATCTATGCATGCCTCATTAAGATATTTACAGAGACTAGAGCTGTAGCCCAGTAGGTTAAGGCCCCAATCTGCAGTGCCAGCATCCCATATGGGTGGCAGTTCGAGCTCCAGCTGCTCCACTTCTGATACAGCTCTGCTAATGTGCCTAGGAAAGCAAAGAAGATGGCCCAAGTGCTTGGGTCCCTGCACCTACGTGGGAGACCAGGAAGAAACTCCTGGCTCCTGGCTTCAGCCTGGCTCAGTCTGGCTATTGTGGCCATTTGGGGAGTGAACCAGCAAACAGAAGATCTGTCTTTGTTTCTCCTTCTCTTGACTCTTTCAGATAAAATAATAAAAATCTTTAAAAAAAAATTGCACAACCAGAATGGGTAACTGGCTTATATTAAGATCTGCCTGGGGCCGGTGCTGTGGCGTAGCAGGTAAAGCCACCACCTGCAGTGCCAGCATGCCATATGGGCGCCAGTTCGAGACCCGGCTGCTCCACTTTCAATTGAGCTCTCTGCTATGGCCTGGGAGAACAGAGAAGACGGCCCAAGTCCTTGAGCCCCTGTACCCACATGGGTGACCCGTAAGAAGCTCCTGGCTCCTGGCTTTGGATCAGCACAGCTCCGGCAGTTGCAGCCAATTGGGGAGTGAACCAGTGGCCGGAAGACCTCTCTCACTCTCTTTCAAGTAAAATATATCTTTAAAAAAAAAACTGCCTAAAATATTTTAGAGTTATGATTATTATGACCATGCTGTGAAAGCACATCATTGTTCGATAAAGGCACACTGAATTCAAACTTTTATTCCGACAAGGCTTTTCCAGTCTACAAGCTGGATTAAAAAGTGGCAGAACATTTAGGGAAAAAAAGGCCAATGACATCTTTAAGGTGTCTAACAAAACATTTTACAGACTTTACTCTAATGGCAAAAGGGAGTCCACTGGAGAGTTTTAACTAAGAATAATCAATTAGATATGTGCCTTAAATTACTCAAATCAAAGTGAAGAGGACTGGGAAATGGGAAGGTAAGCAGAGGGGAAACTGAAAACAAATCGAAAGCTACTCCAGAAATCTCGGTAAGCAACGACAATGATCTGAACCAGTACAGTAACAACATTTTAATACGAGTAAACATTTAAAAAGCACTTCCAGTATGTTGGGTATTTAATCCTCACAGAAAACATAAAGTTGGATAACTGTAAAAAAACTAAATCAAGCACAGAGGCAAGAGGAAAGAGAAGTAAATAAATTTTATGAAGTATGGAAAAAAAAGGCTTGATAACTGTTGAAGTGGGAAGAGCTAAAGAAGAAAGTCAGGAATAATGCTCAGGTAAGTTGTGTCAGCTGAAATGTTCTTTCTAACGTTAATAAACAAATACTGGAGACAGCATCATGTAAAGCCACTGCCTGTGAAGCTAGCAACCTATATGGGTGCCAGTTCAAGTCCTGGCTGCTCCACTTCCAATCCAACTCTCTGCTAGTAACCTGGCAAAGGCAGCAGAAGATGGCCCAACTGCCAGTGTGGGAGACCTGGAAGAAGCGCCTGGTTTCAGCCTGGCCCAGCTCTGGCCATTGTGGCCATCTAGGGAGTGAACCATCAGATGGAAGACCTCTGTCTCTCCCTTTCTGTGTAATCATTTCAAATAAATGAAGAAATTTTTAATAAATATTTTACCTTACATTAACTATTATTTATCAGTACCTAAACAGCAGGGCCAACTTTAAAGAAAAATATCTACTAGCTGAATAACCCCAGAAGATGTCAAGAATTATTTCACCAAAACTTTAACCAAAATGAATACTTCATATACTATTACAGAAAAAGAAATTTAGTTCAGAAAATTCTTTTTGTTGTAAGCAGGCATACAGGATAAAATTGATCAGGTTGGTGAGCTGGAAGACCACGCCTTCACCACACCCCTGTGTGACCTCATGCCCCTACCTGACCACACCCGTGTGCCCACCCAATCAGACCAATTAACCACGACCCCTTGGAAGTGGACTAAAGGCCTGGGACAAGGTGGGCGCAGCACCCCCCCTTTGGCCCTTTTGGCCTTTTGCCTCTTTTGCCATTGCAGGCCTCATTGCCCCTGCACCTCCAGGGCGTGTGGCCTCCAGGCCACCTGCTCCAGGCTTTCTGGCCTGCATGCTCCTCCACATAGCCGGCTCCTGGTGCTCAGTATGAATTCAAACGTCTTGTCTCTTTTAGATAGGGTCTTCATTCTCCTATGTTTCTCTGACTGAATAAAAAGCTTAAAACTTATCACGCTGTCTCATTTATTTGTGCCATTATTCAGAATTCTTCTCTGAATATTAGGCAAGAACCCACAAAGCTTATTAATATTGGGAATTTATTAATAATGACATGGTAATATAATTGGCACCCCTTATTCTGATATCATATGGCACCCGAGATGGGACTTTTAGGGGGTCAGCCTCTGGTCTTTTTTTTTTTTTTTTAAATCATTTTCACCATTCTAAATAAATTTTTTAAAATCATTTCACCTTTTTTTTTTTAAATCACTTTCCTCTCAGTTCTACTAGGTTAGTTCACATTAACAATTTCATAATTTGGTCTGTAACTGTATTTAAATTGCAATTCATTGTCTCCACTATATATATATACATATATATATATATAATTTTTTTTTAATTTGAAAGACATCCTATGTACTGGTTCACACCCCGAAACACCCACAAAGAGAAGGGATGGGCCAGGGAAACACAATCCAAATGAGTGGCATGACAAGAGTCAGGAGCCCTAAACTGAACCAAGCACTCAGATGTGGATGCAGGTATTGTAACCTCTAGGCTGAATGCCTGCTCCTTGCAGCACACTTTTTAAACAATTGTAATCACGTTTTCCAAATTTTTTTTCTTTTTAAGTGTTTTGAAAGTATTTTTTAACACGATTCTATTTTCTGAGATGCAATTTCTTTCATGAATCTCACCAAAAAAAAGAACTAAACATTGAATGTTTTCTCTATTTTAGACTATTCGTCTAATTCTTAAAAGTTATCTTACTTTTTGTAAATGTTGTGAATTTATTATTTTGCTCATTCATGCCTTAAAAAATATTTTTCTAAGCAGCTACTATGTAACAGGTGCTGAGAAAAAAATTAACTAGGACAAAAATCCCTACCCTCATGGATCTTACATTTTTTGCAATGGAGAAACACTATAAACAAATGAGTAATAAATATAAAAAGTACCAGATAGTGCTAAGTACCCTAAAAATATAAAGACCAATAAGAGAAGACAAATTAAGGGGGTGAGGAAAATTTTTCAGGTAGAATGGTCACAGAAGGTATTTGATGTGTCTTAGCTTAGCAGAAACCAAAATGAAAAAAGGTAAATAAGCCATCAGCACTAGTCAAAATATTCTAAAAGGCATTCTAAAGTATTCTAAAACCTCTAAAATGAAGCTGGCAACCAGTAAAAACAGGAAAGTCATTAAGTCTATTGGGAAATAAGCAAGAAAAGGGGTGGTAGAGAAACCCAGAGCACTTAGCCAAAACCAGACCAATACAGACTTGAAGACCATGAGAAAAGTACTGTGGGTTTGTTCTAAAGTATGATAAAAAATTCACTGGAAAGTTTCTTACATTTTTAAAGTGATTATCTGTTATGTGAATACAGTTCAAAACTGGAGGAAGGAAAAATGTAGCTTAAGTAAGAAAAAAGGATGGTCAGAGCTCAAATGGCAGCCTCAGAAAAATGGATGCCTTCAAAACATCGGGAAGATAGCACTGTCAAACCTTGATAAAGGTTATCAAAGGATGGTTCCAATGTTTTAGAGCCAAGCCAGTAGAAAGAAAAATGCAGTATCATTTACTGAGACACACTATGAAAAACCAAGATTAGGGTAAAAAGGGAACCAGATTTTCCAATTGTACAACTTTGGTGTAGTAGGGCTGGACACTCATGTAGAAATGTTATGTAGGAAGCTACAGAGATTTGACAGCAGTGTAGAGAAAATGACATGTATAATCAGGATCTCATCAGCGACTAGAAGGCATTTTAAGTTATTGAGATTTAAAGGTGATTTCCTACTAAATGAGTAGAGATAAAACCAGACATGTGTTCCCAGGATTGAGTCTTGAGGCTGTCTACACTGTTGAAGCAGAAAAACCAGATAGGAAAGGAGACTGCATGGGAACTGCTTGTGCATTACGAGGGGTTCTTCCAGATGCCAGGCAAAGACAGCGTTTCGAAAAGGAAGCACCTATGGAAGTCCTTAAGGATCAAGTAAAGTGGTCAACTTAGTTTTGGTGACACAGAAATATTTTAGGTAATTCTAATAAAAGAGGTCATAAAACTGTTGCTTCTTTTCTTTTCCTTTTTTTTTTTTTTTTGACAGGCAGAGTGGAGAGAGAGAGAGAGAGAGAGAGAGAGAGAAAGGTCTTCCTATTCCATTGGCTCACCCCCCAGTGGCCGCACCGCACTGATCCGAAGCCAGGAGCCAGGTGCTTCTCCTGGTCTCCCATGCGGGTGCAGGGCCCAAGCACTTGGGCCATCCTCCACTGCACTTCCAGGCCACAGAAGAGAGCTGGACTGGAAGAGGAGCAACCGGGACAGAATCTGGCATCCCAACCAGGACTAGAACCAGGTGTGCCGGTTGAAGGCGGAAGATTAGCCTATTGAGCCGTGGCGCCGGCTAAAACTGTTGTTTCTTATTTTTTCTTATTGTTTCTAGACTATTTTGTGGTTACCAGAAGGAAAGAGGAAAG